TTTTATGTCTATTTTATGTATAATAATAATTGTAATAATAATAATAATACCTTCCAATTGACTGAAAATGTCAATCTAATTGAAAATATCCTTATTAGTGACGTTTTTAATGTGATGAAATAAATGAGTAAATTGTAAAAATGATCCATTTTTTTACATTTTCAATGTGATGAAATAATGAGTAAAATGTAAGATCTTATTAATAAAATTTACAAATACTTATTGAGTTATTTCATACCATGTTGAATGAGAAATATTTAAAAACGCCACTGAATCGGGTTTTGAGATGCCTAATGAAGTAATATAAAGTATGTTACATTAATTAAGAAACTTTTGTGTGAATTCTTTAAAATCGGGTTCATAACAATTATGTTTAGTTGAGATGCTTATGTAGAAGTCCATTTTAAATATTTTTCATATAAATTTTAATTTATTTTATTAATTATATATGTAATATGTAGTATATTTTATTTTACTTTTTCATAATTTGGGAGATTCCGTCAATTCAGTCCAATCGGTTAGATTTAACTCATTACAGTAGAGTCAGACAAATTCAACCACTTTTAGTATTACCAAATGAATTTATATGAGACCGAGTTTATTTTACTTTTGCATCACATTAAATTATATATGATTCTGAAAATATCAAATTTACAATTAGCTAAATTATGTACTACCCGTGCATCGCGCGGGCTTGAAAACTAGTTGGTATATACGAGCTCAACAGTTAAATTAGTTATATAAGGATTATATATGCCATGGGTATTTCGGGTGGGTCGGGTGGGTCGGGTAGCATAATTGGTAATCCTACCCGCTACCCGCTTAAGTCTCGGGTTGCAAGAATCGGATCGGGTTTGGGTATTTCGGGTTGGGTTTTACGACCCAAACACAAAATTCGGATATATCCGGTCGGGTCAATCGGGTAGGGTCGGGTTTGCTCTCCCCTACTGGTGGCTTAAAGCAGGTAGCAAAACTTTGATGGGCCTTTTTAAACATAACCTTGCAGGTATAATATGTTGGTATGTGTGGAAGAATTACACTAGTATAATTTGGGGGAATAAGGAAGGTAGTGATACTTCTGATAATATTATTATTCAGATAAAGAACTGCACACAAGTTTGGGTTTCTAGTTTACCTAGATTAAAAATCCGAACTGCGGAGAAGGTTTTATTTGAGGAAAAGCTCATCCCAAGAAATTTCAGAAACTCAAGCATGATTATCAAAGCTATTAGGTGGGGCCATATAGCTTTGATAATCATGCTTGAGTTTGCCTTCCGGGTTTTAAAAAAACATGACAATCACAGCTCTTCAAATTTGATATATTGGCATCTTTAAGATTGATGACACTATGAGAGATATTAGAGGAAAACCCATTTGGAACTTCAAGTTGCTTCAAGAAAAGGCAAAAATTATGTTTCCCATCATCTGATAATACATAAGATGTCATTGCATATGTATAAATATCACCTTCCTTGGTTGGGTGCAACTCAAGTCTTATGTTCATTGCTTGCAAATCAAGTCGAGTTTGAAGATTGTCTTTCGTCTTTCCACTCATATTTATGATCGAATTCAAAGATATTATCATAAATATTCTTCTCGATGTGCATGACATCCAAATTATGTGTTATAGGACTCGTTACTAGAATTGAAACCTAGTGGATGCTTCAGAAAGTAGGTCATAAATATTCTTCTCGATGTGCATGACATCCAAATTTTTTGGGGTAAAACCATAAGAACATTAGCTCCTACTTATTATTAATGATCAAGTGAGGATGAGAAATCCCAAGTCTTGCAAAATGTGTAACAATAACATAGAATCAACATTAGAAATAGAATGAACGCCAATAAGTAATCTATGGCTTAGGCCGGCTAAAAAGTTTGTCGCCCGGTGACCTTCTCGGTAAATATACTCAACTGTGACCGTCCAATTTCGATTTAAAAGCCCGTGAAACTGTGCCACCTCATAAGAATGTTGGTGTGCGTGCTCACCTTCCTCCATCAAAAGTTGAATAGCTATATGCGAGTCCAACTCGCATCCAAACTCCCACGAAAAATATAATCCTTGCACAATAGTTCTCAATTTAGTCATGGTTATCGAGCAAAAATCCAAGTTCATCGAGTACACTGCCAAGCAGCGACCATCGGAATCAAGGAACAACCCTCTTGCAGCTTCTCGTCCAGTCTCAAGAATAACCAACCCGTTAGAATTTAGAGACACCCACGTGGCTGGTGGTGACGATCAAGAGACATCCACCATCATTTTGGTTGGTAGACCGGTATACGTGGATTTGGCATGTATCAAAGCCTCCTCAATAGACTCGGCCCAATGTCGAATACGATATTACGATGTGCAGGGGACTCAGAAGTTGTGCGGATATCAGTAAATATAACTTCATTTCTGGCCTATCAGAGAGACTAGCAGGCAACCCCAAAGAGAAGACGGATGTTCTTTTCCTTCAGATGGTGTGTGATCCAAGGCAGAAATGGGGACTTCTAGTTCGTCCGATCAGCAGCAAGGTAGGCAAGATGCTCCGAGGTGGTAATCGCAAAAGGATACTCTCGTAGCATATGCAAAATTGTTTCCTGGTGTATATTACAGCGTGAGCAGACGCCCTCTACCGCCATGTGTCTATGTCTTCTTTCCTTATTAGTTAGTAGTTAGTTGTGCGCCACGGGTCAAAGGAAATGTTTGGGGCCACGCCAATGCCAAATCACTCTCTAGACTTGTCCTCCTTTGTTAATCTGTCCACCAAATAGAGTGTATGTCGGCCGGATTCTAAAGCAATCATCCTTTTCAAAAACCCAATCAAGAGCATCATCTCCACTGTCAGGGCGATGCGGGACATACTTACAATATGCAACACCAGATTTTCCTGGATCAAGGAACAAAAAAGAGGGAAAACCCACTCACAAGAAGCTGTGTAGAACTGTGCCACGGGGGCGGAGAAGTCTGGTTCCGAAGCAGAAGGGAGAATATGGTCGATAAGTTTCTCGCCCGAGTACAGCTAGCGAGTAGCCTAGAAAGCTGTGTTGCGGCCTTCTCGGATTCCATCCCTCATTCCAATCTCCACGGTAGGTAGGGCTACCACGGTAGGAATGTTGTGGCCAAAAGCCTATCTCCATATCACGATTATACTTAGTTTGAAGCACATGCACTCACGATTCATTTGGTTTGGTAAGGAGCTGAAACCCTAGTTTTACCATATATGCATGATTTATAAGGTATCGGCTGAGCGGCGTCCCAAACCACCCTGTTGTTTTGACCAACAGATGGCATCCCAAGAGAGGTGGTGAATTTTCCTCTCTTTCGTGATGGTACCCCAAACAAAAGTTCTGATTCTTTTATCAATTCGCTACAACTATGACTGGGGAGCACTGAAGTTTGCATAACATACGTAGGAATCGCAGATAACGAGAATTGGGAAAGAGTAACTCGTCCAGCAAAAGCGAGCATCGAAGCTTTCCAGCCAGCAAGCTTTTGGTCCATACGATCCGAGATGATCTGGTACGAACCATTGGTCACCCTTTCATGGAGTACATGAACCCCCAAGTATCTACCCAAGTTTTGGGTAGTCGTCATGGCAAGAGAAGAAGCAATACGAGTCACATTTTGTTTTTAATTTAGTACTTCGTATTAAATTACACATATAATCAAACAGTGTATGTATTTCTACGCTAAACTTTGCATGTAATTATTTTGCATGTGAAATTTTATTGCAATTAATTTATATTTTTTCAAATGTCATCCAAATTAAAACATATTGTTGAATTTTGAAATTATTTAAAATTGTCAATGATGTTGACATTTACATATACTACCTCCGTCTCCCTAAGTTTGGGACAAGAGAATGTAACACGGTTATTAATAAAAGTGGGTTTATGTGGTTGATATTGAATTGATAAAGTAAGAATAAAGTAGAAATGATTTAGAACCACACAAACTTTACCAAATAAGGTATGAGACAATCTTAGTGGGACGGACCGAAATGGTAAAATGAGACAATAGTGGGACGGAGGGAGTAACATATACTAGGTAGTACGTAGTAAGTTAGAAAACACAACCTTTAAGTTTAATATTTTCCAATTTGAAGGATGTTGACAGATAGAACATATATGTAGTATATAATAAAAGGTTAGAATATATAGTCACTTAAGTTTAAAAATTGAATACAAATTACTATGATTTAGTTACCACTACAAAAAAATTACGGAATTGACACGAGTTTACCATTAATTTCGTGCCAAATATCTCGCGTCAAACTGTTTTTGGCACAAATTTGACATATCCCTACCAAAATCCCTGCCAATTTTGAAAAATTTCTACGAAAAAATCCCTGTCAATCCCGTGTTTTTTAGTTATACAACTATAATAACTATTTCCATTTTTAATACATAAATGGATTTTTATGACTAAAATAAAGATTGTTTACAAAAATATGATTAGTGACTGATGTAGTAATGAAATCATAGTAGCTTATGTTCATTTTTTAAACTTAAAGTTACCATAACATTGCATTGTCGTAACTATTAGTCATATTTTTATAAATAAATTTTATGTCAGGAATATTTTTGAAAAAGACATTTTTTAGATAATCTTTATTTAAGCCTAATTATTTAAAAATCATTTAAAATTTAGTGTTATTTCTACTCCGTATTTTATTTGAAGAATAATGAAGACGATTTTAGTCCTTGTAACCCACCGACTCGTTCATACTCTCCCAGTCTAACAAAAACCCTAATTATGCGGCCCAATTTAATTAAATAAGAGAGAGAGAGAGAGAAAACACGTTTCATCGCCTCTCCAAGTTGCGCCACGTGTCAGCTAGTAGAATCTCGGACGTTCGTGACAGATGTTTCGGTCAGCACCTCATACTTATGAGCAAACCACCAATAACCGTCAGATCATAACATGCAATAGATCGACGGCCTTCATCCTGCCCGTACTTTTCCGGGTCAGACCTCCTTCGCCTATTAAAACGACGATCTTTCCCCTCCTGTATACGCACAATACATTCAAAGTTTAAACCCTAGCCCCGACTTCTCGTAAAATCTCCCAATCGAATACCTATTTTTCAATCTCCGTACGCTAATTCTACACCGCGGATACGCATATATATACGTCGCCGGCCGTTTCTTTGGCGGAAGTTTGTAATTTTCCGACGAGCGCATATCAGTTCATGTTTTCAACTCAGTGAAACCTACCAATTTGGCTTTGCCGGTGCAGTTCATGGTGTCTGCGGCTTTAGGCGGTCGTAATGAACTAAATTGGACTCAGTCCGGTGAATTAATGGGGAAAGTACCACACTCTCGTCCTCATTTGAAATCGAACTCTAATTCTAATCCAAAGAAGAAACAGAAACAATCGCATCCCGTAGCTAACGGCTCCTACAATGATGACGCGAATTTATTCAATCAACCGCTGAAGGATTCCAATGGCGTCAGTCTGGGAAACTCTCAAACGTACAACATCCAGTCTTACACCAAGTCCGAGCTAGTTGAGCTTAGGAAGCGGCTGATTGCGGAGCTTGAGCAGGTCCGAAACCTCAGAGAGCGAATTGAGTCGGGTCAATTCAGTACCAGCACTGCTAAACCAAGACCTCCAGGGAAGTCTAAGAGATTATCCGGGAACGAGAATATATCAAATGGTTTTAACGGTATGACTTCTGGTCTAGTTTGTGGTGGCATTGGTGTTGCAGAGATGGGGAAAATGATGAAGGAATGTGGACATTTGTTGTCGAAGTTAATGAAGCATAAAATTGCCTGGATTTTCAAAACCCCTGTAGATGCCGCAGCCCTGGGTCTTCATGATTATCATCAGATTGTTAAGAACCCAATGGATTTGGGCACTGTGAAATCTAATTTGTCAAAGAATATCTATCCGACTCCAGTTGAATTTGCTGCTGACGTGAGGCTGACTTTTAATAATGCGTTGCTGTACAACCCTAAAACGGATCAAGTTCATGGATGGGCTGACCTTCTTCTCTCCAGATTTGAGGAGTTGTTTAGACCTATACAAGATAAGCTTTCTAAACTTGTGCCTGAAAGAAAGGTAAACTTAGGCATTGACGAGCTTCATAACAGTTTTAGGAATCACATTCCTGTCCCTGAAATTTCTAAGAAGCCAAAGGCTGCTCCAATCCCACGGGTCTCAAAGCAGCAAGAGATATTGCCAATTCAATCGAGTGCTTCAACACATTCAGTTCCACCACCTCAAATCCACCCGCCCTCACATGTGGATCAGCCAGTTCAAGAAAAAGTGGCAATTGTGAAGCAGCCAAAGCAAAGGGCTAAAAGTACAATAAAAAGGGAGATGACTATGGAGGAAAAACATAAACTTGGGTTTGGGTTGCAGAACTTACCTGAAGATAAGATGCCACAGTTGGTACAAATTATAAGAATGAGGAATGGGAACATGGCTGAAGATGGTGATGAAATTGAGCTGGACATTGAGGCTTTAGACACAGAGACACTCTGGGAGCTTGATCGCTTTGTAAACAACTGTAGAAAGGTGGAGAGCAAGACAAACAGAGAAGCTTTTGATAATTCTGTTCCTACTTCCAATGCTGATGAGGTAACCTATTTTCTATGGTTTCATTTAAGAAAGAAGAAACAAACTTGGATTTGCACATCGTTTGTCCTGAACTTTATGGTTAGTAATTTAGTATGGAAGAGGGGGGTTTGGAAGGCATAGTCTTATGTGTTTTTTGTGATTAGAATATCTCTTAATAGATGTGTCTGAAATTGATTTAGGGTGGGTATTGAAATATTATAAGATATTGCGACCACATGCTATTTTGCTCATTCTTTTTTTTATTATATAAAGTCTGGCATTCATACCCAGGCCAGATATAGACAAAGCCCTTCAAACCCCTCCTACAAAAAAATCTCAAATACCTCCCCTGAGGGGCGTTTGGTGCTTTTCATTAGATTTACTTTACACAAAATCACTTTTCGCCCACCTGGGGGCTTTTGATGCTTTCCATTTCGTCCACTCTGAGGTGGAATTTGATTCCCACCTTCCTATGAGAAACACTTTCCATCTCCAAGAGAGGAACAATGGCTATTCACTTGCCTTATTTATATACTTTCCATGGAATGCCTCATAAATGCCTCCTTAGTGGCTAACATTTTTTTTTTGACAGGCTGCTGTAGTTGATAAGAGTGATCCAGTGGAAAATAATCCTAAACTTGTTGAATTGGGGGAAGAAGATATCGATATAGGTGATGATATGCCTGATGCCAGCTTTACCCCTGTTGAAATCGAGAAGGAAGATGTTGTTGCTTCCCGAGAGCCTGATAACCACAGCAGTAGCTCTAGCAGTGAATCATCTTCTTCTAGTGGTATTTCTCTTTGTGAGAGCAGTTTGATGTTCAATTGATGCTGCTTGACATTAGGAACAACCTTTTCTTCAGTGTGACATTATATCCAATATATTTACAGGTTCTGATTCCGGAAGTTCTTCTGGTAGTGACTCAGATCATGATGATGCACAGTCGTGACTCTCTCAGCTATGATTAGTCTGAGGTTGTATTGAGCTTCACCGCTTGAGGATCTTGTTTGCTTCTCCCGCGTATACCTTCTCTATTTGTGGTGTTAGCAAACATGGTAGGTATTAGGAAATTCTAAAAAAATCTTCCTTACCTAACCTATATGTATTCAATATTTTCTGTCTCCAAGTATGTTAGATGGATATAATTGACAATAATATTGGTAAAAGTTAATACTACTAATGAAAATGTAAAAAAAAAAGTATTTCTTTACTGATAGAAAATATGGCGGAGATTTATTATGAACCTATTTGTATATAGGGTGACAATGTAGTTTATGTGTTAAAGTATTTATTTATGTACTTTGAAATTTTATGTTTACCTTCCCATTCGAATATCTAAGTTCATATTTCCGCAAATTCCGACTTTTTACATGTATTACCATTGGGTAAAGGGGATTAATAATTCTTTCAATTTGCATCTCTATTAGAGCGATGGACTGAAGAGTTGTTTGAACTTTTTCTCAGGAAGATGGGAATTTCCAGATTGACAATTAACGCGGAAAGTTGAAAATGTAAATGCAATGCTTAGGTTGGCATTCCCGACTTGAAGAACTTTGCAGGGCAGTTGAAATATGAAACAAAGATAATGGTTTTGTGTACTTGAAAAGATGTAATACTAAATACCACTCTAAAAGCCTTGTTTTTAAACGTAACTTTTTTTTTGTAAATGTATTTCTTCATTTCTTGGATGTGCCGAGTTTTGTTCCCTTTGTTGCAACCCTCGTTCCAATTATATCCCTCTCGATCAAGGGTTGTTGAGAACTTTTTCATATCAAATTTCAATTTTAAAATTTCATGGTTTAGAAATTAGAAGTAGTGCAAAGGGTATATCCGTATATATGTATTTCAATGGGTTAGGTACTTAGGTTTGGATTAAAATTGTCAACGGCAAGAGTCAGTCGATTTTACACATGAACTCATAACAAGTACGCGGATGGTATTATAATTGACAAGCACTTAATATGTAACATAAATAGATACCCGTGCAGGTTATTGAAGTGGTTTGTAATTTCTGGATTCTTATTGCAACTCTGTTATTTACATTGTCCAGATATTATTGTAATATAGTTTTCTCATTTTATGTTTTACGTAGTACTAGTATATAAACATGTTAGATATCAGAATGTATGCCTTCAAAAGTACTTGTCATAAGTTTTACTTGTACATAAATCAATATACTAATCTGAGCGGTCGAGTGGTTGCAAATAAAAAAAAGATCACGAGCTCGTATTTCTTAATCATGTACAAATTTAAACTGATGCATATAAGTTAACTTTGTCAAACTTAATTTTTGAATTAGTAATTTTTGTACATGTAATTTATTTATACGTAGTGCACTTGAGTAATTCAAGTAGGTCGAAAATGATGAGCCGATTAGTTTTTAATTAATTCAAAATGGATTGGGAACCAAAAAGAAAAAATTAATATAGCTACTTTATTACAATAAAATCCGTTTTCTTTCACTTTCTAGTTTTAGGTATTCAAATTTGATTTTACGGCTCAATAGAAATTTGAGTGAATTTTCTAAATATAAAAATAAAGTCACTTAAATACTTTTACACATCAATATTAGAACTAAAGTTATGACTGCTCAAATGGATCGAGTTTCTCTTCCATATTTAAAATCACATGTTTGTTTCACGTTAGAATTGGTTTAACTTACTCAGGGTGTACTTCTAACAAATTACTCTTATTCTATTTTACCGCACAAGGTGATCAATTAACTAAGAGGATGATTGTGTTTAGAGATCACAAGACAAGCACACTTTTTTGCTTATACGGTTAGGTGTATTTTCTGTTTTTACTTATAAACAGAAATGTCCGTCCTACAAGGCTATAAGATGTGATGTACTTTTTTTTGAAGGATTGTGATAACTGATAAGTTCAAGGTTAGAATTAAAGCTCGATTTCTAAGGCTAGACAATCAATAGGACGAAATCTATCCGCCATTCGCCAATACTGGTCTATCCATGCATAAAATAGAAGCAAATGCAAATGACGTGTGTATTTTGCAATTATTCAAACTTTTATTGCACAAGTTCAATAATAATACTCCGTATGAACAAGGGCGGACCGTAGTACAGACCCAAGGGGGCGGTCACCCCCAACAACAAATTTTTTTAGTGTATATATATAATAAAAAACAATTTTCGCCCTCCCAAAAAATATTTTGTTTAAGTTATCGTCCTCCCAAGATAAACTTCCTGGGTCCACCCAGGCATATGAACTATGGAAATGTATACAAATACATATGACAAGTGTAATATTAACACAAATATGGTGAAATGTGTGAACTCGGAACGAGCAGACCTAAATGATGTATTAAGAGGGAATGGACGTAAAATCTGTTTGAAAAGATATTCTTCTCAATTGGCGGAACCCGAAAATAAGCATGCATTTATTTGTTCTATAAGATGCTATCATATGTGTTCCAGGTAATTACTCGCATTACCTGCACTAGTGAAGAAAGTAAACATAAGTTAAATTATTCCAACCCCAACTTCGTACTCTTAGAAATTCAGTCTCCAACAAATAACGTAATGTAGGAAATGCGTATAAGCAAACCTCGGAACAATCAAGAATCAAAACCCATATGGTTTCTAAGGAGTTCTAGATACAAAATATCACGAGTTGACAGCAAGAAGCATGGAACCCATTTTCTAAAGGAAAACACCAAATATTCAGTCTCAAAACTTCGAAGCTATTACAAGTATGAGATTATTTAAGCACTCTACTTCTTGACTTCCTCATAATCGGCCTCGGGAGCTTGCTCTCCACCTTGGGCACCACCACTCCCAGAGGCAGCACCACCGGCTCCACCACCAGTCATGTGCTCCCCAATCTTTGAAACTGCCTTATTTGCGACATCAAGTTTCGCTTTGATGTCCTCCACATTGTCTCCCGCCATGGCTGTTCTCAAATCCTTGACAGCCGCTTCAATTTCTGAAATAACCTCCTTCGGCACCTTGTCTTTGTACTCATTGACACTCTTCTCAATACTATAAATCGTAGTGTCCGCATTGTTCTTGACGTCAATAAGAGCCTTCCTCTCTTGGTCCCGTTGAGCATGCATCTCTGCCTCATGCACCATCTTCTCAATCTCACTCTCGGACAGCCCACCGGATGACCGGATGGTTATCTGCTGTTCTTTTGAGGTTGCCTTGTCCTTGGCTGAGACCGTGACAATGCCATTTGCATCAATGTCGAAGGTGACTTCAATTTGTGGCATTCCTCTTGGGGCAGGTGGGATGCCCACAAGATCAAATTCTCCAAGGAGTTTGTTATCAGTTGCCATTTCACGTTCTCCTTGGAGGACTTTGATGCCAACCTGTGTTTGGTTGTCAGCTGCTGTGGAGAAGACCTAAAGAAGTTGGAGAGAACCAATGAATTTTGATCAGCTATCACTTGGCATCTTTCTTTAAATATAAAAATGCACATGGACAAATGGAAACAAGAACGGGAACATTATAATGACTACTACCCTATTTAGATTATAAAGGAAAATAATTTTCATCCTCCCTTCCCCGCCACCATTGTAATCTCTCTTGGTTTGAGGTAACAAATTTGGATCCCTGATCATCTTACAGCTCTCCACTTATTATTCATCAATCCAAAAAGGGGAAAAATCTAGGAGAATAAAAATATTTTTTTAACCATTGTTTCCCTTTCCATACTATGACCAGCCAAAACATCACCTGAGGGTCTGCTGTTAGGATGGGGATTTTTGAAAGGGGATTTGGAGGCAAGCACTTCGCAATTCAAGTCTTGATATAGTTTTTAAGATTTTTAAAATCTGAATGATTAACTTTATATTTGATCCTACAACACTCAACAACTCTATTCACTTTAGAAACAATTATTTATCAAGATAAAGCCCGCTAAGATCATCTATCCAAACAAACACTTGGTTATTTCTCAAAACTATAATTTCTTGACACAGCTAGGATTTTAAAGTAATGATAATGATACCTGGCTCTTCTTTGTAGGAATGGTAGTGTTTCTGTTGATCAACCTTGTGAAGATTCCTCCCAATGTCTCGATACCTAGAGACAACGGGGTAACATCCAAAAGAAGCAACTCCTTCACATCTCCACGAAGAATGCCACCTTGGATTGCTGCTCCCATAGCAACTGCCTCATCAGGATTCACTCCCTTGCTTGGGGTCTTTCCAAATATCTCAGAAACCACTTCTTGCACCTTTGGGACACGGGTCATGCCACCAACAAGAAGGACCTCATCCACTTCTTTGGTGGAAATACCTGCATCCTTCAAACAATTCTTGCAAGGATTCTTGGTCCTCTCAATTAAATGATTGACCAAAGCCTCAAACTTTGACCTGGTCAAAGTGATATTCAAATGCTTTGCTCCAGAAGCATCAGCAGTGATGAATGGCAAATTGAGTTCAGTCTGAGACGTTGATGAAAGCTCAATTTTAGCTTTCTCAGCTGCTTCCCGAAGCCTTTGCAAGGCAAGTCTGTCTTTTGATAAATCAATATTCTCAGTTCTTTTGAAGTCATTCACCAAGAAATCCAACAAGGCGTTGTCAAAATCCTCTCCTCCCAAAAAGGTGTCACCGTTCGTTGCTTTGACCTGCATGTAAGTAGATTATTAAAATATTGTTTAGGAGACAATTTTAATCTTGAAGTTGATCCTGATATAATACTTCTCTCCTAAAATATCTTAGATAAAGTTCAGTGAAACCACAATACTGTTTTTAAAATAAAGCTGAAGGGATGAAGAATAATGACATCTTGTTTGAATGACCAAGTGCGTCAGGAACATTATCACACACCTCAAAAACACCATTGGAGATCTCCAAAATGGAAACATCAAATGTTCCACCACCAAGATCAAAAACTGCAACAAGCCCTTCTTTGTTGTTCATACCATAAGAGAGTGCAGCAGCAGTCGGCTCATTAATTATTCTTTCTACATCAAGACCGGCAATCCGCCCAGCATCTTTTGTTGCCTGTCTCTGAGCATCATTAAAATAAGCCGGGACAGTGACTACAGCCTTTGTAACAGTTTTTCCCAGGTATGATTCTGCAGTTTCCTTCATCTTTGTAAGAACAAAAGCTCCAATTTGACTTGGAGAGTACTGTTGTCCATTTGCTTCGACCCAAGCATCTCCATTGGGAGCCCTCACAATTTTGTAAGGAACCATCTTCATTTCCTTCTGTGTTTGGGGATCATCATAGCGTCTACCAATCAGACGCTTGGTCCCAAATACAGTGTTTGTTGGGTTTGTAACTGCCTGACGCTTGGCTGGTGTGCCAACAAGCAACTCTGCTTTCTGGTTAAAAGCAACCACAGAAGGAGTAGTTCTGGATCCTTCAGAATTTTCAATCACCTTGGGCGTCTGCAACACAATCTTGAAGTGTTAGAGACACCAAGAAGAGCTAAAACCAACTGAAACAGATATTTCATACATGGTATACAAGTGAGCAAAATGGTACAATTGATTCAATTGTACCTTTCCTTCCATAACAGCAACACAGGAATTGGTCGTACCCAAGTCAATACCTATAATATCGTTCCCAGCTGATTTTGAGCTGTATGGAAAGGAAATACATCATACATCTGGTATCACAATAACAACCTGTCCACTACAAAGCACCCTTGAATAACAAAATTACCTAAACTGTCTGGTTAGGGATGCCCATCTAGCACTGCCAACTGATGATGACCATGACGGATTTGTGTTGGCAGTAAACTGCATATCACATGTTTTACACGTTCAGAATGGAAAGGTTAATACAACAGAGTGAAATGATATTGAGAAACATCCGATGCAATCAACAGTTAGCTCATAAATGTCGGAAGTTAAGTGATCAATACTTAATCTTACAAAACAAACAAGGCCAAAGATTGCAAAACTCAATGAATCTATATCTTCTAAATAATCTTCTTTCACGAATCATTAAATATTTGGCAAGCAACATAACTCTAAGCTAACCCAAGAAGATGGAAATGAACTATTACGATGCCATTAACGTGTTTTCAATATGAAATCGTAGAAGCAAAAGTTGGACAGTCTGTTGAAATGGTCGAATAACAGCGACGAGAAAACTTACAGCCTTGTAGGTGGACAGGGATGAGGAAGCAAAGTCACGGCGACGGAGAGATCGGAGCAATACGGCGGTCGCCATTGGATCAGAGAAACGGCGTATGCTTCTGCTCTCTTTCTGGAGATTTCTGTTTGTTAGGGTTTAGGGTTTTACGGAGAGT